GGGACAATTATGTGTTTGTATAATTGCAACTGTAATTCCAGGCAGCAAATCGCCTCCTGGATTTCAAACAATGAGCCCTAGCCAAATGGAATAAAATGCAAAAATGCATGTATCAACTTCCTTCCCTGGGACCAGGCTTTTCAGGACCACAGCAGAGAGCAATGTCTTTCTGGATCAGCACCTGTGGCTTTGCTCCTTCCAGGGGAGGAGATTGTAGGCTAATGTCCATCCAGCATAACTTTTATGTCATTAGCAACTCCAGAGATGAGTGTCTGTTTGGAATCTCTACTTGTCTCAAGTGCCAAATCTCTACAGCATTTAACCTCTATCACTTGACCTCCATTGCTATATAAAGACATTTATGAGCACTGGGGAGATGCTTCGAACAACATTCAAAGTAATGGCCAAGGTTTCAATGATGTTTTCCAAATTCCAATTTGGTGGTTTACTGGGGGTTTGCAGGGGCTTTTCCCACCAACAACATCTGCAGTTTAATAATTCATATTACAAAACATTTGAAGACTAATCCTATAATACCTCTGATACTAAGCCCAGGGCTAACTATCCTCAAATAGGAGGTCTTTAAGTCACCTGCTTTTCTCATTACAGCAGTCCGTAGGGTTCTTACTACCATCATAGAGCCAAGGGGGTCTTTGCTGTCAGGATCCCCGAGTAAGAAGAGATAACAGAATGATGAGCTGCTCTGAGATTTCCTTCAGAACCTAGAAATATCCTGGACAGACCTTAGAGGCTGTATCTGGGGCTGGCCGTCTCATTGTAAGTTCAGCAGCTAATTAGTGGTTCAGTTATGCCCAGGAATTCTGCCCTTTTCACTATTAAATTCTACTGTGCACTATTAAATTCTACTGTGCCTCTATTTCCTGTTGATTGTCCTAATTCTAAACCTTTTAGTTACAATACTACTTTTACTTGTACACCTCTAGCTAGGGAAAGGAACGTTTCTGGAGGATCACTTACTAGATTTTTAAGCTAATGAATATTTGTAGTTGTTTACATTTTACAATGTACAAGTAGTATAGAGTTTGTCTTCTAATTATCTTCCAATTGACATTAGAGCACATCTCTTCCTTCTATTTCTTTGTAGGGTAACAAAAATCTACCACCTCCAAATGTCTTTTATTTGGGAGGAGGGACTATTTTTTAAAAGTTGAGTGAAAGCTTTCGATGAAGACCTAGCCCCTTTTCTCGTCCCCATTACAGCTCTGACTTTTCCTCCCTTCCCCTGACCTCTCTTCTGCTAGTTAAGTCATTTAAGATGGTATCTAAAGCCGAGGTGGGCAGTTATTCAGTCATGCTGTTTCTCTTCCACGTCTACAGGAGGGGTATATGTTATTGTTAAACATCCATATGGCTTTTTCTCTTGTTAGTCTGTCTGATACTTGTGTGATTATTTGCTAGCATAGAAGAACCCAGAAGGATACTTAGTAAATTTGGTGTGTCCTTTTATTGTGATTGTTTTTTATTTATTTATTTATTTATTTATTTATTTATTTATTTATTTATTTATTCGCACAGAACTGGGGTACAGGCCAGAGATGCGGAGGGTGAGAGGATTCACCAGAGACAGAGGGGGTACAGAACAGGCAGATCGACGAAGTACACTGCTGAGGGGAGCAGCGGGCGGGTCAGGAGAGGTCTGCCTCGCATGTGGATCTCCTCCCGGGCAGGCTGGGATCGAACTCATGCGGAAGTGGCTTAAGCTTTTTAGTGCTGTGCTTTAACCCGCTGCGCCACCAGGGAGGGCCCGTGAGTGTTTTTTATGGAAAGAAAAGGTAAGTGGTTTAAGAAAAAAGTAGTGTTAACAAATTTAAACTATTCTTGGCTATTCATAATTTATGACTGATTCCATTCTCTGGCAAAAGGTCCATAACCATCAGTTCTTATGATCTAGATGAATTCTCAAACTGTTTGCTTGTTGGTTTCTTAGAACAATTTCTTTTTGGCCCAGTCCAATGATTTTTTTTGACTTGATTCAGACAAATCAGGTAAAGCAATTCCTCTGTAATGGCTTCTCAAATGTCAGCTTTCCTCTACTTGCTTTCAACCATAAATTATATAGCTTTAATCTTTAACTATCTTACGATCTTTTGATCATACAGAATTTCCTAACATATTAATTCTACCAGATACATGTATTAAGTGTGAACCACAACATACCACAGTGTAATCTTATATATTAGCCTATGCATGTACTATTTTATACTGTGTAATAAATATTGCAAATTGCAATGAGCATTATAATGTAAGTTCAACAGAACAGCTAAAAATATTATTAAGAATATTTTAAAGTGGGGACCTCTCTGTGGCACAACAGATTAAGCCAAAACACTATGAAACTATCTGTCGTCACTGCAGCATAAGTTCAATCCCGGGCCAGGGGGGTGACCCACATGGCACAGCAGACCTCTCCTGTGTTACTCACTACTCTCCTCAGCAGTATATTTCAGAGATTGGCCTGTTCCACTCCCCATTCTGTCTCTGTGAATCCTCTCATCCCCTGCATCTTTGTCCTATACTCAGTTCTTATATGCATAAATAAATAAATCTTTTAAAAAGAGAGAATATTTTAAAGCTGACTATAAGAGCCCTTCCAGTAAAGCAGAGGGGGTAAATCAACATCTGTCCAAACTATACACTTGCAAGAAAGAATACCAAAACAACTTGTCATTTGGTAGGTTAAAGAAAAAAAATTCTATAAAATTCTATATCTTCTTTTAGTTACAACAGTATTTATACTATATATAGAAACACTGTCAAATAGACTTGGAGAATGATGTGCAAGTGGTTTATAAATTGTAAGGAATTCTCTAAATTTTAGACTAATCTTAAAGTCTATGTTTTGAATTACTCTATAGCAACTTCCATTTCCCCAAGTGCAGACTAGTTTGAAACTTAGTTGGATATTGGGAAGAAACAATATAAGTTCCCTTCATTTATATCATCCATATATTTTTCCATTTTGTAACTATGGACAATTTAAGATTATAATATTATTTATATTGTGCCTTTTTTATACAGTTCCTTTCCCTAATAAATATAATCATGTACAAATATAATACAAAGGGGAGGGAGACTTCCCCTCCAAAAAAGTTTATTTTCATAGATGTTTCACTTATATCCATGAGAAAGTCAACTAGGGAAAATACCTGGGAAGTCACAGGAGACAAAGATATGTATTATAGATTAAGTCCTGCTTGCTCCAATGAGAATTTAGGAATAAGGAGATTTCCTAATATAGTCTTCACAGTGGTTTACATGAAAGTATCTTTTCAAAGGTAACCTCCATTCAGTCTTCAGAGTTCCTATCGTGAAATCAACTTTTATAAAGAAAGACAGATAATTGGCAGATTTTTGCTCCTATAGCTCCAACCAATATTCCTTTCATTTAAACCAGTAATTCTGTTTGTGGGACTCTATCCTAAAGGAATAACCCTAAATCAAGAAAAATGCATAAAGCCTATTACAGATTTTCTTTTAGTAGAGAAAAAAATAGAAAGTGTAGCAATCAAAACAATCAATTCTGGAGGGCTGTCATTAAAATTGTGATTACAAAAATTTTGATTATAAAGACAGTGTAATTTCAGAGGAAAATTCTTACATCAAGTTTTTAAAAATATACACCAAATGCCTAACTGAACAAAGGATATGGTCATACATTATGGGAAAGGGGAGCATGAAGGAGAAATCTCTCAGTTAAAAATTTGCTTGCAGGTGCAAAAGCACTTTCTTTTCTCTATGCTATCTTTCATAGTTACTTCACTCATTTGCCAAATACTTACTGACAGCACATACTGGGGCATACAACAACATATACACACATTCTATCCCTATGAAAAGTTTTTAGTAGCTAGAAGGAGGTATATCATCAAGATAAATCAATTACTATGCATATAGAAAACTGTGCAGTTTCCTCAAACAACTAAAAGTGGAGCTTCCAAATGATCCAGCAATTCCACTCCTAGGAATCTATCCAAAGGATACAAAATCATTAATTCAAAAGGACACCTGCTATGTTTATTGCAGCACAGTTTACAATAGGTAAGCTATGGAAGCAACCCAGATGCCCAAAACTAGATGACTGGATCAAGAAATATGGTACATTTACACAGTGGAGTATTATTTAGCAATCAAAAGGATAAACACATGCCCTTGGCAGCAACATGGATGGAGCTGGACTTATGCTCAGCGAAATAAGCCAGAAAATAACAAATGGTCTCACTTATAGGAGAAATGTAGAAAAATCAAAAAAGGAATCAGGAGGAAAAAAAGTACCATAGTAAAGCAAAAATCAACATCATCAGGCAACTATAGATCAGATAGATACATTCTGTAAGACAGGGGTGGGAAGAGTACAAGGGACTATGGTGATGGTGCACGGGTGAAGTGGTGGTGGGAATTTCATGGGTAAACCATACATTGCACAAAAATGAAGGATGATGTAATGAATATATTTTTTAAATAGATGAAAAAATCCTGTGGCATATATCTTTAATTAAAAAAATATTTTTAATTAAAACGAGGCCAACAGTTATACACACACACACGCATACATATATACACACAAATCATCATATGTATATATATATACAAATTATATATATATGTATATATATGGCATAGTGGATGATTTGTACTAGGCGAAATATAAGGCATGGAAAGGGAATAAAATTGCTGCAACATCTATTGAGATTTTTTTTCCCTGAAGAATTATTTTTTTTTTATGCATACAAGCGCTGGGGTGTAGGCCAGAGGTGTGTAGGTGAGAGGATACTTTTTGACTTGCAGAGGAAAGGGACCCGAATACGCGGCTGGTCCCACAGATCAAGACTCAATAGCGCCAGGCCTGCAGGTGACACTGCAGCGGGGCGGGCGGACAGGTTGAGGTTGCGCACGGAAGGACTGGGCGAAGCGTATCACGTGACCCGAAGAGCGTGAGGGGCGGGGGGAAGGAGGACTGAGACTGGATCGAATTTGGCTCCGCGCTTTCTCTCCCGAAAGGCGGGCGGAGCCGAAAACCAAACAAACGTCTTCTGAGCGGCTAGGGGCGGGGCAGACAGGAGCGGATTAATCTTCCAGAACTGAGGCCTTAGGCCGAGTTGGTTTTTCGGTTGTTGGTCGCATTCGCCGCGCAGTCTGCGGTCGGGCTGAGGCGTGGGGAGCAATGGCGACCTTTGTGAGCGAGCTGGAGGCGGCGAAGAAAAACTTGAGCGAGGCCCTCGGGGACAACGTGAAACAGTAAGCGCTGTCTGGGCGCAGCCTTCGGGCCTCTGCGCGGGAACTTCCCGGGCCTGGGCTGCCGACCCGCCTCTGGGACGCCCCTTTCGCCGCGGGGCCTGCGTAGCCTCAGGTCCGGAGCGACTGGGCCTCGGGGTTTTTTCAGTCCCGGGTCTGGCCGGCACCCAAGACTTCCCACGCTGAAGGGACCCTGGCTCCCTGAGGACCAGGACGGGACAGGTGTCCGGGACGCTGTCGTGGGTGGGGCGGGAGGAGCGTACTGACTGCACGCACTGGGGCCTGCTGAGGGGCTCAGGCCCCGGCGAGGGATTCCGAACGCGTTAGGCCCATCTCAGGCCGAATGAATTAGGTCCCGAGTCGCTGGTTGAAGCGGGTACCCAGGAGGGCTTCCTGGAGGCGGAGGCTTCTTTAGCTTGGTATAGTGAGGCACTATGGTCGAGCGTGGACAGAAATTTAGGATCGCAGACAGAACATTATTACGATTTACATTGGTGAGCTATTTGTTTATGACCATCTTTTAAGCAATCTATACGTACGAGCTCATCTAACTCTCAACAGAGACGTGAGGTATAGTTATTGTTACTCCTTTGGATAGATGAGAAGACCGAGACTAGAGAGGTAAATTGACTCTTCAGAAGACACAGCAGGATTGAGATTCCTCCCTTCCGATTTCTGGGTCTGAGGCCTAACAGGGCGTGACCCCCCCACCCCCCAGTCAAATCACCAGCCAGGGTGTGTAGTGGGGGCCGGGGACCCAATCAGATCAGTTGCGGAATCGACTGAAGCCTGGTGTCTTAGAAGGAACTTCTAGGACACAAGAACGAATTTGGAGCTTTCAAAGCATTGTTATTACACTTTTGTTTTTCCAGATTATAGGAAGCATGTTTTTAAACGTTTAAAAATTTAATTCCTGTGTTGTTGCGGCTTTGGTGTAATTCTACCCATAGATGCTCACTTTAAAATGATGTCAGAGTAAGGTGTTTGGGGGAATATTGCCCTTTTCTCAACCACTCGGTTCTCATCTTTGTCTTATATAGTTTATTATGACCAGGTTGAAACTACTTAACTTGTTTACATGATTTTTCAAATTTTCCTTGTGAATTTTTGAGGTGGCAGAGTTCACGCTCCCTTCTTCATCCTAAGGAGAGGTGCAGAATTCCCCTATTGGACTTACTGAAGTATTCGTGGCCTGAAATAATTCTTAAAAATATAACTCTTAAAGATAATCTTATTATAACATTAATAAATTAAACATTACTTTGGGCATGGTTTTAATTTTTGTAAGCATTTATTTACTCCAAAGATAAATTCTGCCTAAAAGCATTTCTATTATTTATATTGATTCATTTATTTCTTTGCTTACTTTACTAAAAAATCCTCAATCATTTTAATAGGTAAATTGACAATTTTTACCTTCATTAACTATTAGAGTGTGTGACTTTTATAATACCTGTTGCTAAAATGAAAATATTTTTTAGCACAGTAGACTCATTTGTTCTATCTAGGATGCTTACAAATGTTTGAAAGTCAATGTTCCCAAACTAAATAAATCTGAAGTACCTGGCTGTGATTGTAATTGATGGCTGAGCAGCATTGATGACCTCCCACCTCCCTGCCATCACACAGGTTCTGTGTAGCCAGACAGGTTGAAATTAGTATTTGCTGTTTAGTGTGTAAATGAGAACACTGCCTGTCAGATTCTGGTCAGATACAGATGCTGAAGCTTAATTTGGTGTATCTGCATTGTGAATTTCTTCTCATAATACCAGCCCAACTTTCCCTTTGCCAAAAACAATTCCCTGGTATAGTATTGTTTGTATTTGCTGTCTTCTGTCCTCATTGTCTTTTTCCACTTATGTCCCTTAAAAGTGCCTTGTTGAGCAATTTATAGTATCATTTAACTGTCATTTCTCCCATATTTTCCATGAGTAGTTTGCTTGGCTGTACCACCTCACCAAATAAATATAGTCCTGGATAATAGGTAAAACATACAAGGTAGATAAGGCAGCATGTCAGTTGTTTTCGACTTTTCCAGTGGTCCAGATGTCCTTTATATAAGGTTGTGTGCTCACTTCAGGTTCTGCCAAGACATGGGCTTTGTTACCTGACACACTTTGGTGCCCACTGGTGTATTGTGTTCAAATAGGTGCTTAATTTTATTTTATTTTATCTTATTTTATTTTATTTTTTGATGACTTGCTCATAGGTTATTTTGTTTCTCTGGATATCTCCAAAGTTTTCTAATCTATTCTTGCCACCCATCACGCTCCCTAACTTTGTGTCTGCTGTGAGGGGGTGGGGAAGGAAGATTGTCATTTGTTTGCAGGTATTGAGCAAATTAACACACAAGGACCAGATTGGAGAGCAAGTCTGGTCTATCTCTATAGTGGTTTCGGGCTTAAAAGTTTGCCACTGGAGTAGAGAGCGCCTTGTAGTTTCCTGGGAGAGCCTTCTCTTAGTTTTAGAATAGGTTCACTCCAAGTATGGGTCTGTTTGCATGTTTCTTATAAAACAGTGATACTGTCTTATAATTGATGGAAGTTTCTCTCGTTACTGTTGTCTTATTGGATAGAATGGAACAAGAAAAGACTTGTTTTTGTGTGGAGCTTTTATTCATTTCAGAATTGTGCCTATCCTTTTTTGTTTTTTTTTTTAAGCATTAAGTGCTCACTCCAGGAAAGTTACTATTGACTGATGAGTGCATGAGTATCAAGTGAAAAACATGCTAGAGCTCAGCATGTTACTGATGAGTGAAATGGGTGTTTTCCTTTAACTCTCCTTTAAAGCAAAAAATAAAAAAGGCATTGCATCCAACCACATATATACACACTTAGTTAAATACAGATATTCTTTTAAATACTAAAAGAATTTGAAATAATCAATGTACAGGAGACTACACCTTGTTATGAAAAACAGGGTGAGCATTAAATGCACCTCATTAAGAAACCTCAGATGAACCTGAGAGAATAGTTAAGTGGATTGAAAGTGATTGTAATTGGGTAATTTTTAATCTTGTTTCATGAACAAGGAACATCTTCCTTAAACACTGAAACAAGGAGTATGGATACGAAAAAGGGTATTTTACTCCTGTTTCCAAAATTGTTAAGGTATAAAAAAATTGAACTTTTTCTATCAGTTAACTGGTAATTTTTATTTTTAGTTGTTTCACTTTAAAAACCACAAAGTTTCTCATATCCGTGGTTATATTCTTTGTGGTGAGGTGTTTTAGAAACTAATTACTTCAATCAGCTTAAAATTTGAAAGGAAAGCAGTCACCAAGAATCAGTATTAATGACTGCCCATAAAACTTACTTAAAAAACAAAACTGAATGTAGAAATCTAGAGAATAGGCCTTTTAGAGAAGCCTTGACAATGAAGAAGAAAAGATAAAGTCACGGCTTTGTTCATGGGGTGAGTCCCATTTTGTGACTACTTGGGAGCCCAGGAAGTCTCAGGAAGGATCTTCCTTCCTGTCTTCCTCTTTTTTGTGCTGGCATTCTGCTTCCTAGGTGTGCTGGTTTGCTAGGGCTGCCTTAGCAAATAGCACAGATAGGGCAGCTTAAACAACAGTTTATCTTCTCAGTGTCCTGGAGGCTAGAAGCCTGCTGGTCCCCTTGGCACATAAACGACTGTTATGGGTGTGTGCAGGTGTCTGTTCTAATCTCCTCTTGTAAGGACAGTAGTCACATTGGATTAGGGGCCATTTTCATTTAAGTACTTCTTTAACTTCCTGGTTTTCAAATTGTTACATTCTGAGGTACTGGGTGTTAGGGCTTCAGTATTAGAATTTTTAGGAGCTACAGGTCAATCCATAATGCTAGGGAATTCCTTTCCTGGGAATTGGAGTGGATAAAGGGTATTGGAAAAGAAGCAAAACTTCTGGTTCTTAATCATTCTTTCCACTCCTGCAGATACTGGGCTAACTTAAAGTTGTGGTTCAAACAGAAGATCAGCAAAGAAGAGTTTGACCTTGAAGCTCATCGACTTCTCACACAGGATAATGGTATAACAATTAATTGGGGGATATACAGGGACTAAGATGGACTGTGGGTGCTTTGGTGAACTACAGTTACTACACCTGAGGGGAAAAAATCAAATATTGTCCAAAAATTTACAACTATCTAAATAAAGAAGGGCTACATTTAAAAAAATTTTTTTAATAAAAATTTTAAAGCCATTTAACTGGGGAGTTATTTTACAGTTCTCAGATTTCCCAGTTTTACAATAAATTAATATCTTCTCACTTGAAAAAATTAGTTTTGCTTTAGTGGTGTATGAAGTCATATTAATTAATAGTGCAACTACTTAAAAATTCATTGTAAAGAATGGCAGAGTGTTTGGGTTGGAGGTGGTATGCAGATCCTTAAAAGCTAGTTTCAAATAGTTTGTATTTGACTTGTGATAAATCTTCCTTTTTCAGTCCATTCTCACAATGATTTCCTCCTGGCTATTCTCACTCGCTGTCAGATTTTGGTATCTACACCAGGTAAGGGAATGGACATATTTCTAGTAAAGCTGTGGGTCGCTAAAGTTCCTTAAACAGACACATCTGCTGTTTGCAGATGAAATGGTCTTTGAAATGCTCAGAAGAAAAATAAATTATGTAGTTATAGATTCTTTTCTAGCACCCCTTAAAGCAGGTGATTTCCCTGTTCTTACATTGACTTGTGTTATTTACTCCCCACTGCGCTGGGTTTCAGATTACTAATGGAGAGTAATGAAGGGGTGGGCAGTGTGGATGAAGAAGCTGAGAATGTATGGAGGGCAGCTGGTGCAGGTTTCCAGAGCTAGAGAAAGATGAGTATGTGGAGTGTAAACCATATGTGGGGAACCAGGACTTCCACCCATATTCTTAAGTAGGATATTAGCAGCTGGAAGGTTAGAATTTGATAGATTATTGGTGGAGAACAAAATGCTGGGGAGGTGGGTAGAAGATAAAGCCATCACTTCAGCCTCAGTGGGTATGGATACAACACTGACCCCTTTGCCCCCAGTTCAGCTGTCTCCTGGTTTAACCAACTGGTATAATGAAAATTTGCTTCATGATAAAATTGATCCTGGGCTTGTGTTAAGAGTTGCATAGATAACTCTTGCTGTACTTTAAGTAGAATTTTGTTTTTAAAGGGTGTGTGGCGACTGATGATCATTTCTCAAAGCCCTATGTACCTCGAAATGGCTAGTGTTTTGTGTCATCTCCCTCCGCTAAGGTCGCCAAAAGTCTAATTTCGCTACACTCAGCTCATTGGTGTGAAGAGTAGTGGACAGTGAGTGTTTCCGGAGGATACTGACTGCCGCTCACAGCCTCCTGCACCCTGCATTGCAGGGTCTCACTCTGGTGGTCCAGTTAATTCAAGCAGCCGTTGACTTAGCGTGATGACAACCCACTCAGTATAAAACATTAAATTTGATCAAAAAAGCCAACGTTTTGAGGATTAGGCCTTCTTAGGTAGGTAAGAGTGCCACACACACAAAAGGTGAAGTGGTATGGTCAAAATTTAAAATCCCTAGAGACTTGGATTCAAATCTAGGTTTTGCTACTAGCATAGGAAACAGAGGTTCTTAGTGTTCCACATTTAAAAATAGATACAGTAGTATTTCTCCTTTAGGGCTGTAAAACAGCAGATGAAAGTGCTTTTAAGAGCAAAAAAAAAAAAAGCCAAATCACATACAAAGTGGTTTTAGCAAGTGTAAGTGACTAATTTTAATTAAATAATGACATTTGATATCATTGAATGTTGGCTACTTGTATTTTAAACTAAATGAAGAACTATTTGGAGTTGAGACTATTTCTCCATCAGACATCCAAAATACATTTCTTCAAAATGAAATTCATGTTTGTTGGCAATAGATGGTTTTTACTGGAAGTAAAATATTCAAATATGATTGTACTTATAATAAAAACTTTTTCCCAAACTAAGCAGAAAAGATGATTTTAATATTATTTACTGAGCAACTGTTACGAGTTAGATCCTTCCTGTGCATTATCTTTTAAGTCCTTAAATCCTGATCTTAAATCAACAACTCTTTAAGACAGATGCTAGCTTCTTTTTACCTATTGGGAAACAAACTTCAGAGAAGCAAAACAAAAACATAACCAGAGGCCCATTTCAGCTCCAGAGTGACAGTGCTGCTCCGCCCGCCTCCAACTGCTCTCCTTTGTGTCAGTCAGCCCTTGTGCCTCGCACCCTGCGCCTCCTCACCTGAGCATTTGGCTGCTTCTGCCTCCTCACCTGAGTGTTTGGCTGCTTCTGCCGTGGGGTCTGGGTATCAGAAATAACTGTCTTTGAGCACTCATTTGTTGTCCTCATCAGATGACTGTGCCAGAGGCCCTCAGTGTGATGGACGAGAGCACAGAGATTCTCCGTTTTGTTTTTTAACCGAGAAACTTGAAATGGTTTTTTTTCTTCCCCCTCCCAAAAAAAAAAAACAAAAAACTAGTCCTCCAGAGTTTCTCTGTGACTGGAAAGCTGGAGAGATCCCCACTGGTCCAAGGATGTCATATCTAGTCCTTCATCTCTTTGCTCCTCCCTTGAGGTCCCTTCATTTAAAAAAAAAAAAAAAAAAACCCTAGTCCCAAAGTATCAAAATGGAAATAATGTTTTGTTAGGGTGATAGGTGATTTTTTTTTTTCCTGTAAACAATTTTGCAGGTATTTTTCAAAATAAAGTACAAAAGATAATGAAATACTTTCCACTCCTAGATCTGTTTCCAAAGGCAATTACTTGTTCTTTTTTGTACTTTTCATGAGACCTCAGCCATTCATAGCATGCTTAAATTTCTTTCTGGATGTACTTACTCACTTTAGGCATCTGTCTTGCTGTCTTCTTACTCTGTATTTTATTTCCTCAGCTCCTTCAGCTTTTCTGTCCAATACATTCTTTAATTCAGCAATTTTCATAACATTTTCTTGTTTTATGGATACTTACATTCTCAAATTTCTGAGGATACCAGTTAGAAGTTATTCAGAATCCTTGTGTGTTGCCTGAAAATTTGTAACTCTAAGAGATCTGTTTTGTGTTTATTTAGCTTGATATTTCTTATGTTAGCGAATACTGGTAAGTCTGATGATTCATATTTTAGAAGGAAGCATAAAATTGCCTGGAGATTCTGCTTTAGAGTGAGCTGATGGGGAGTCTGGCTGTTAAACTGGGTTCCTCAAACACCAGCATACACCAGCAGAAAGCCAGGTGCCAACATTCACACCAGCTGCTTTAGTAAATCCGACATTCTGTTCAAGTGGAGAAGACTCTTCTCCCTCGACCTTCCCCCCACCTGTTAGAAACACCATGCTTTGTATGGGCATGTGCAGGACTAGCTTTACGGGTCCAGTGCTCTACTGTGGTTGTCTTGAAATTCTTAACCTGTGAACAGGGCACCCTATTTATTTATTTATTTATTTATTTATTTATTTATTTATTTATTTATTTATTTATTTATTTTAAGTGAACTCAGTCATGGGAGTAGAAGGGAAAGTGTTTGGATGACTTTTGAATAGATCGCTTCCCATAATCTTGTTATTAGCTTTATTGGTTCTTCCAGCTTCCCACTGACTCACTTTCTCCAAATCCAAATTCTTTATGGATTTGTATCAGGCGGGTTGATTGTTTCTACTCCATTTGCCCACTTTGCCTTTCCTGGGTTATGATTACTGTGTCTACTTTTCCAGGCTTCCTTTTAGCCTTTCCTTGACAATTGATGAACTCTCATCCTGTCTGCCACTCATTTTTAAATGACTACTTTGCTTTATTTTCATTTTTAGTAGGGTTTTAGAAGAAAGGAATATACGTGCAACTTTACTTTCTTGAAATAGAACATTCTGTGCAATTTTATACTGCTACTAATAGGCAAATAACGCCCAATAAACACTAAAAAAATATAAAACAAATTTGCTTCCCAAAAAACCAATTTTGGTTACTGGTAGAAAAAAATGTGATATGAAAAATGTTTAGAGAAGTAGTAATCTTTGAATTGAATCATCTATTACTCAAGCCCCAAATGAAAGCAAACGTAGGAGTTATCACTTATCATCATTTTCACTTACAGTAATTATTTTTCTGTCTCATAGAGGGTGCTGGATCTTTGCCCTGGCCAGGAGGTTCAGCAGCCAAACCTGGAAAACCTAAGGGAAAGAAAAAACTTTCTTCTGTTCGTCAGAAATTTGATGTAGGTTGTTCTTCAATAGATCTTAGTAGCAACTGAATTAAGTACTGGTTTGATAGAACTCGCTTACTTTTTAAATGAATAGCAAAGCATTGGTCATTGAGTTGGGGGGGAAGGGAGAGGGAAAGTGACTTGGGGCAAAAGGTCTGACTGTATTTGAAGTTAGTGAGGGTTTCAAGGATTCTGTGTCTCAAGTGTCTGAATTTTTGTGATCCATTTGTTACTGTGTACATATTAATTTGTTATCTTTAGTGCCTAAGCTTTTTCAATGATCCAAAAACTATATCTTTGTTCTTTCTCCTCTTAAATGTTTCCTTGGCATGAAAAATGTTTCTCAGATTGAAGACTTCTCCTTCCAAGGGGCTCTGAGGGGCCTGATAGTGCTCAGCCAGCGCCTGGGCCTTCTGGGCCTCCGCAGAGACAGCACAAAAACATCTGGCAGTAACATTTGTAAACATTTTAGAATAACATGCTTTTTCTAGTTTCTATCTGGGGAACAAAGTTTTCCATAAGTATTGTTTAATAGGTTTGACTAGGTACAGAAGCTTTATTGATTAACGGCAAGCATTTATTTATTTCCACCTTTGCTCTGTGTTTTTATGTCAGCGATACTCAATCTAGAGAGGCATGCTTGGTCTTTATAAACATGTTTGTTATAAAATACAGTTTTACACTTGGAAAATGGAAAAGCAGTTAAGCATTGCTTTTATAATACACACGCCAACCAAGGTTAGGCCTTATTTACCACAAAATCTGAGCTTTAGCAAGAACTACTGGGGCACATCTCCCAGTGGTGATGGAGAATCATGTCGGCTGTCAGAATCCACAGGCAGGCTGAGAGGACTAGTGCATGGAAGAACACTGAGAAAAACTATTTTAAATAATTAGAATGACTATGTCTTAGGAAGCTGCTCTGTTGAGAATTGTAAATAGTGCTGATAACTAAATAGACTATATAGCATTATTTGTAGTACTTGTTATTAAATGCTTTATTGGTTAGCTAGACTCATTAAGGTTTAATTGAAAAGTTAAGTATATATTCATACTTTGAGATCCTGCTTCTTTGTGAGGATATTTAAAATGCTCTGACTTGTTTGAAAATAGTTTTATATCTTCTCCCTAATTACTGTTTTTAGTACTGACCCATATAGTCTGTGATTATGAAGGTATTAATTGAGTAGAATAAACATACTACCATTATTCCCTTTAATTTATGTTTGTATTATCATGTAATGGATGTAATCTGGTTACTTTTGCGTGGTTATTTTTTTTTTTTTTCTAAATCCCTGTGGACATTTGTGGGATGACGAATCCAATACACTGGTTTCTTTTGCTTTGTTATCACTGTAATGAATGATTTTGAAAAGTTTTCTTACCCATAGCATAGATTCCAGCCTCAAAATCCCCTTTCGGGAGCCCAGCAGTTTGTGGCAAAGGATCCCCAAGAGGATGATGACTTGAGACTTTGTTCCCACACAATGATGCTTCCCACCCGGGGTCAGCTTGAAGGGAGAATGATAGTGACTGCTTACGAGCACGGGCTGGACAACGTCGCCGAGGAGGCTGTCTCAGCTGTTGTCTATGCGGTGGAGGTTGGTGTGCTGGTGGCAAGACACAATTTTGCACGTTGAATGTGGCTCTTATGTGTGTTGTGGAAAGTTGGTCCTGAGAAAAGAGTAACATGCCAGTCCATCTCACAGGAATGCCATCACTGAAATTGTTTTCTTCTGAGGGAAGAAACATACCACAGTTCATATAGTTGCCTTCAGTTAACCACTAAGCTTTTCAGAAAGGTTGGTTAGAACATAACACTCCTGCTTCATTTGATGTTTATTTTGTCAACAAGAGGACCGTCTTAAGGAAAGAAATGAGCTTAGGAATCCTGACGAGTCACTTGTTTTTGCTGTGGTACAGCATCTGAAGAATATTAGGCCAGGAATCTGGACAGACAGGGTTTCTTGTCTCAGCACACACTTTCATTCTTACTCATGTAGTTACTCGACAGAATACACATTGGAGTCTGGAGTACACAGGTCCTGTCAGGCGATGTTGGGTAATTCCTTTTTCATTCTCTGGGCCTGTGTTTCCTCACCTGTGTTTCAAAAGATTATCTTTCATGAAGCTACAGATAATGATTTTATTCTGTGTGCAAATTGTAAATAAACTATGCCATGAAGTCCTGACATGAGATGACCTTATTGGTAAAGCTGAAACCCCATGCCTATTTCTGGCTCCCCTGTTAACTGTTAACAGTAGCCAGTGCTTGTTCTGTCTCTACTTCAGACATTGTCCAGGTTCCTCCTTTGTTCTTGGCTTTTGAAAAGGTGGAGGGAAATTAAATGCTCAATTTCATGTTCATTTCCTGTATATCTGTTGTTTATGTGGCTTTTGAAAGAGCCAAGAGCTTTTGAGGGAGATGCAAGAATTTTAGTATAGTAGGTAGGCATTCTAACCTGAATCTCAGATCTTGAACTTTTTGGCCCATTTTTAAACCAACTTTCACTGTAGTTCGCTTCTTCTAAAATGCATGGCTATGTCCTTCTTTTCTTAAAGCTATCTGAAAGTCATTTGAGAGACAGAGGAGCCAGTTTAGAGAGAAAAACACTTTAATAAATTTGAACCAGCCCCTCTTAATAGAAATAAACAAAAATGAAGCCCCCAGCTCGTGGCCTGCCGCTCTCCAGTAAGCATGCGTTTGCTTCCAGCACGTGCTAACATGTCTGCATCTCTATCCACTAATGCCAGCAAACCTTTTTTTTGGCTGATGGAAAACCTATGATTTGCTTTTAAAGGAGAGTTCATAACTGTTTTTCCTCTCTTGTTTTCAGAGTCACCTTAAAGATATATTGACATCAGTTGTGTCAAGAAGGAAGGCGTATCGCTTACGAGATGGTCATTTTAAATATGCCTTTGGTAGCAATGTTACCCCTCAACCGTACCTGAAGAATAGTGTAGTAGCTTACAACAACTTAATAGAAAGGTATGTGAAGATCGCTGCCTCTGGGCATCATCCTACAGTGCATTACAGAATGATGATGTAATGACTCTGTTAAATAACTAGCTATTGTTTCTGTATGTAAAGTACTTTTGAGAGCTGTGTCTTATTTTAATGTCTTTCATGATAACTAGGGGATTATTTTGTTACTCTTCTTATCAGAAAGAATTCACAGTTTGGCAGCTGCTCTGTTTAACGTGAGCCTGCCCCATTCTGAGGTAGAGAGGAGTGGTTCCCAGGGGCAAGGGCCCCAGTGGCTGCTGTGGTGGAAGTGGGTCCCCTCAGTCAGAAGAGATTCCTCATCTGGCTTTTGTAGTTATCACTCAAGATCAAGGCCCTTGCCAGGACTCATCACACTGTTCTTGGCACCCAGTGCTGCAGGCCCGGCCTCAACACCCACCTCTGGGATCCCTCTGTCCTCCTTCCACCCAGAGCTTCTGGGACTTCTCTAAGGTCCCTTCATTCATGTGTTAATCTGTCTCCATCCCTCCTCCACCCCCACCCCACCCCCAATATTTTGCTTGTTTTCAGCCTTTGAGAAAGAAAAGACAGTAATATAATTTTCCTCTGGGTAACTAAAATAACTAAGCTTGTCTGAGAGCTGGACTTTGTGTACTTGATTACCTGGTTAGTTAGGGAAAGAGAGGTAAAGAGATGACAAGAAAGTAGAAAACAAGTAAAAATCAAAAAGTGACTGGGAGGGGCTGGCAGGAGTAGTAGGCAGGGGAGCAGCTGAGATAATAAAGGTGACCAGTGGGGAGGCCGAGAGTTGTGCAGGGCAAAAGCCTGACAGCACTGCTGGGAGCTGCGCCCAGTGTCTGTCTCATGACCCAGAGGACTGGGACTCGACGCACAGGCCCTGTCTTAAACTGGGTCCACTGTTTAGGGTGCCATATGTGAAGATTTACTTTCTAGATTTCACACAGGCATATTTGTGTGGGATTACTTGTTCTCATTTACAAGTCATTCTTCTCCAGAGAAAGCAAAGAAAGTGGCTCCTTATAGTGGGTGAATGCCAGGAGCAGGCATCCAACCCTGCCCTGCTGCTCAGCCACCCTCGGCCTTGCTGGCCAGGCCTGGGAGCTTCGGCCCCTCTGTCAGCTGCTTGTTTCTCCAACAGGGCTCCTTTGTCTCCCACCCAAACCCACACTCGTGCGCCACTGTGCTTTTCTCCAAGTTACCTCACGCTGTTGTTGTATGTACCTCCTGTTGTGTGTTCATCATAATTGTTTAGGTTACATCCTCTTAAGATATGATACAAAATTATGCCTGACTGGCCAGCTGATATTATATCTAGATTCTGTTTTGGGAAATGGGCAAGATCCGATGAATTTTCTTCACCCCTTCTTTGTTCCTGTTTTTTCTTTCTTGTTATTTTTGACCCTGTCTCTAACACTGTTTTAACTTCCTCTCCATGTCAGTTGTTTACAGTTTTATTTTCCTTTAATTAAAGTGTGCTTCACTTTCCCTCTCCCCCCGTCCTTCCCCTCCACCAAAGCTCTTTTAAGGGCAGGAAACCATTCCATTCTGAGGTTAGTAAATATTTTAACATTTTGGAGAGAGGAAGATAAGTGTAGTTGTATTACTTTGTTTCTAGCCCTATAGCTCGGCTAACGTACTCACTAGCAGAGAAGTGGATTTCTAATTCATTTGAAGATTTTTTTTTAAAGATTGATTTATTTATGCGTACATAAACTGGATTGTAGCCCAGAGGTGATGGGGGAGGTGACAGGATTCACCACAGACAGAGTGGGGAGCAGAACAGGCAGATGTACTGAAATACCCTGTGAGGGGAGCAATGGGCAAGACAGGAGAGGTCTGCTGCGCCATGTGGGTCACCTTCCTGGCTGGCTGGGGATTGAACTCGTGCTGCAGTGGCTGGCGATAGCTTGATAGTACTGTCTTTAACTCTTGCGCCACCAGGGAGTCAATAAGATATATTCTAGCAGCCCCTTCCTACTCTAGTTGTTCAGCTGTGCCTATATCCATCACTGGGAATATTTCTGAATTTCTTCTAGCCCTCCAGCCTTTTCTGCTCCGTGTGCTGGTCAGAATCCAGCCTCTCACCCGCCCCCTGATGACGCAGAGCAGCAGGCTGCGCTCCTGCTGGCGTGCTCGGGAGACACTCTGCCCGCATCTCTGCCTCCGGTGAACATGTACGACCTTTTCGAAGCTTTGCAGGTAACTCTTGGCTCCTTAATATTTGCCTAGCTTTTGGACAGATTCAGAGTTTTTTCAAGTCTACCAAGAAATTCACAGGCTTTTTTTACCTATTAGCTTTTAGTTCTGCAGTTTTTATTTTATTATGAAAGTCATTAATACTAGACTTGTTCAAATCCTGGGCCCAGGAGTCCTTCCTAATTTACTCCTTACCCCCATCTCCTCAGTGAAAGAAAGAAAAGCCCCTTGTTCCCTTTTTCCTATTTCATTACCTTGTTGTTTTCTTGTAGATTATTTGGTTTTCTTTGATTCTGGCTTAAAGTTTATACATCTGTGTGTCTTTTCTGAGTGTTTGTTGATGAAAACCTTACTTTTATTTGTGTTAGAAAATCAAGTATACTGCAATCTAATTGGAGAGATTCTGTTTTTAACCCCAGGTACACAGGGAAGTCATCCCCACTCACACTGTGTATGCCCTCAACATCGAAAGGATCATAACGAAACTCTGGCATCCAAACCATGAGGAGCTGCAGCAAGACAGAGTCCACCGCCAGCGCCTGGCAGCCAGGGAGGGCCTTCTGCTCTGCTGAATCAAGATTTGATTGGGGAACCCTCAAAAAATTCACTGATAATTGAGAATTGAATGTTTTTTGGGGTGCACATTTCAACTGAAGTGTGTATGTAAATATAAACTTCCTATGGAAATAAGACATTGAGTACATTTTGTGTTGCTACTGTGAAGCCATTAATGTAAATCCAACTTTCGTAATGACCCATCTCTCTGTCTGTGTATATGTTTCCAATTCTGGGATTCGGTGGCTCTGAAAAGAATTCTGTGTCTAGAATGGAGTTTAGACAGCAGCAGCTTGTTAGCCTATGGTCTGCATGAGATAGATGACACCCTCAACAAAGAAGCCATTATAATTAGCCCTTACAGTCAGCAGGACTTCTGTGTCTTCATGACATCACATGGTTTGTGTCTGGCAAATCTTAAAATGTCTTTACCTTGAATGAGTGGTGTTCTTGCGTTTTGGTTGAAGTGACCTACACAGTGTTAAGAGTCAGGTACCTCCTTTAGTGACCAGTTTAACTTCTAGCCTACAGGTAGCCCCTAATGTTATACAACTCCATAGAAAAGATGACTTTGAAATGTTGTGCTGTTCAACAAAATAAAAGTCCTTTCTTTTGCATTAAAAAACAAAACCAAAACCAACAAAAACTTAGTCTTTCCATAGCTTGTTTCTTTTATAGTTATGGTGCCCAAAGACTTTGATTGATAGGTTGAGCTGTTACTTTTATAGAATATGTTTTAAGAAATCCCTTTAAACATTGGATTTATACTTGGTTATTTCCGTTTTCCCATATTCCTGTAAGATAACGTTTCTGTTCTTAGAAATGATAAAGTGAAAACTTAAACATTTGGCAGTGTTACTAATAGCCAGGTTGGTTTTTGCTTGTTACTCAAGACATAGTATAGGTAGGATTTGGTAGTGTCGATCAAAGTACAGGTGTACAGGTGTGTATGTGGTTCAGTGTCTAGATTTGTGTTTTGATTTTGTACTTTGAAAGTGACAAATAAACTTTTTGGGAGACTTTTGTTTGTTTCTTTATTAAACATAAGAAATAATTGCCTCCTACAGAAATAGGAAAAACCCTGCTTCATGAGATCTTAGCAGACTTTTCAAAAGCACGCACTAGATGAGAAAGATGAAAAAGCCGGTTCCAATAAAGGTATGTCCTTTTTTTCCCCTTTCTGATAAGTAGATGAAGACTAAAAAGTAAATAGCTTAGTTTCAGCTCTTGACCCAAGTCTGAAAAGCCCTTGAAAATCCAAGAATATTTAGGACGTAAAACCCACTCTCTGAATGGATGTAGTGGCTTGGTTTTGGACTATCCATATACCTACCTGGGTCTTAGTGCTGTGTATGTTAAATTTCTTGAGTTCTGTAGCTGGAAAGACAGCCAGGAGCTATTGCAATGCCCTGCCTTCCATCACAGTAGCAGGTCCATGGAGGTCTATATAGCAAAAGGAATTTCAACCAGAAAATGCCTCACAACACTCCAGGACCTGACCTAAATTCCTGTTTCTCTTACTCTGGCCATAAAGAGGAAGCCCTTTGGCTCATAAGGAGGCACATTCTTAAGGCCTGCTATTCATGCCAATCCTCCTCAGCCATTTTGCAAAGTGGAAAGATGTGGTTGAAGGCAAGGCAGGAAGACAGAAGACTTAAAATGGATTTTTCAAGAGACCTCCTGAGATTTGAGCACCTCTCTTTCAACCAAAGACTGGCTCCAACTTGGCACCTCTGCTAACTAGCTTCCTGAGTGCAATCTCTGCCATAATTAGGCTTCAAGAAATCATGAGGGCTCATATCAAGCCTCATGCAATCAGGAAAAAGTTGTGAGAAACCATATTTGAAAGAACAATATTTAATATTTCACTAGTTGTCTTAGCCACAGGTATATTCTGTTAGACCAGAGGCACAAGCTACCTTCCTATACTGACACCCTAAGTGCTACTAGCACACATCCTTGCTATTTGTCACTACTGTGACCCACTGAACACAAAAGATTTCTTCAACTCGCCATTGCTTTAGTGATGGCATACATTAACTACCCATTGCCTGAAGTGATTGGGGTATTCCAATCTGGGTTCAGTTGTCTTCTAAAGGATCACATATACAACTGGCCGCAAAGGCCTGTGCTCCCTCACAGCCTTGATCCTACAGGAATGCCTCCACACTGTAGAGTGTAAGGAAGGTAGGTCTTGTGTTAGACAAGAATTTTCAGTATTCTGATGCCTCACAAGCAGAAATGTCTAGATTACAACTACTATAGTTAATTCTCAGGACTAACTCAGAAGCAAAGCATAAAAGGGCATCTAGGCCCATTGTGCTTTCATTGTGAAAGAAATTTGTGAAAGCAGGATGCCAAGTACTTTTCTGTTCTACTTGCTGACACGTTTTCACTTATTTAAAATTAAGTCCTTTACAGATTTACTCTGTGATTTTGGTAATGTATCATTCCTGAGAGCATCTAAAACAAGACTTAAGAGAAAGCTATTCAGCTATGCCTCTCCCCTCACCCCTTTAGAAGCCATTTTTAAACCACACATTTTCATCCCTTTGTCTCCCAAAATACCAGTACAACCCATGAACACTTTAAAATTCAAAGTTGTGTTAAATACATTGGTCCCAAACGAGAGGGAGAATGAAGGATCAATGAACTTGCAATATGACATTCACAAAGCTAGCAAGCGAATAAAACCACCAAAGCCTATTGTCTTTATTATCAAAGTTTATTGTTGTCAGTTCCTATCTAGGGGAAGTACAACTATGTCTCAGTATGTGCTATAGTAATTCTAGGGTAATAGCCATCCTGCAAAACAGTTGTACTGGGGCTCCACTAGGCATAGATCATAATTAAGTCAGTGGAAGAAATGAGCCCAGAAAAACCCTGACAGTAGTGCCATTACTCTAGGAAAGTTCCAGTGCTATGCAACCTGTAAGGCATCATCTATCAGCTGATGATGAGACTCAAGGAGGTGTTGGACAGAAACAGGAGTTGAACCCATTTTCTACTCTTTGCAGGACCATTATGGTTCCAACACAGGAGACCAAAATTAGGCCTTATAATATAAAACCCCTAAACTCCTAAAGCAAGTAAAATAGGAATTAAAAGAGCAAAAGGCCAGAAACAAGAACAGTGAAGGATAAATTAGGTAGAACTGGAATGAATGGAAACATCTGGAATGGAAAAGTAGTTGGGTTTAGATGGCATTTGAGATGATAGCACAGTACAGGTAAAAAGCAAATGGGCAACAAAAAAATATTTTTTTAAGTTCAGATAATGGAACTTAAAAGTGAAGCTTACCCTCTTAGAGGAAAACTGGTTTGGAAAGATGAGAAAGTTGAATCACTAACAGGAAAATGAGTACCTGAGTAGAAATAGGTGTTTCCAGATGTCTAGGACTGCATACTATAGATCTGAATTTACAGGGAAGAAAGTTGGTTTTCGTAGCCTGTGATCCAGATGTGACATTGGAATGATGTATCTAGCAATGGCTCGGTCTATAAAGCTCTGGCTATTTTTTTTTCCTTTTTGTTTTTGTAGCACAGACAGCTTTGGAGGAATGTTTTCATAACACTCGGCTTATGTGGGAATGCAAATTACTATAGTGTAAAAATTCATAGACCTCCCACCTATTCCTGCAGGGCAGGAGATCAGAAGTCTCAAAATAACTGGCTAAAGGCCCAAGCCCTCTCACCTTTGTGGTGAAAATATTAAAGAAATTAACAAGTAGCAGATGAGTCAGTGAGCCTTGTACCATTGTGGGCAGCAGATAATTCATGGTGACTCCTGCAGGCAGCCTGAGAAAACAAGAGCTTGTGTACTAAATGCTGCCCAGTGATTACATAGAATAGTGAAAAATAAGGTCATTAAATGAGACCCTAAAAAAGTCTAGCTGCCAACCAGATTGGGAAGATAAATAAAACAGCAGAGTTTATTTTGACCCCTTATCTTCCCGTACCAACCCAGTTTGTCTATAGAAAAGCCATCTGCTGGCACAGGGCCAGTATGTCTGAATTTTGTTATCATTAGTGTCTCGTTTTTCCAAAAGAGGAAATGTGTAAGTAACAGGTATATATAAATGACACATTTCTACAAAGCCTTCTATGCAGACCTGTGTGGGGACAGGCTCTATTCTTGGAAGCAATTTTAAAGGCAGAAGAAAAACTGACTTGAGGTTTTCTCCATAGAAAGGACACTGGCGGAGCAGTGCCCATGATGAATCCCTTGTTGATGTTGGACAAATGGTCTCTTCTCCAGAAAACACCTTTGTTCATTCATATTTACAGGTTTCTTCTAGGGTCATCTCTAGAACAAGAAGTAGGGCAATCAAGCCTGTGATGAAACCAAGCGTCCCAGACTTTTCTGACCCTCATGGACATGAGGTGCAACAGCTGTGTCCCAGAGTGGGGTGCAGACAGACACCCACGCATCCAGATGCGGGCTCTTCTAAGCCCATGGCTTCTCCTGCTGTCCCTGTGCGCCCACACTTCCAGGAATCATCTCGAAGATTTTGCTCTTCAACTGTTTCCAACACAGTTCCACTTGCTGGAAAACAGAAAGAGCCTAAATGCAAAACACTGGGTTTTACATGCCATGTACTTTTTAACAAAAGGTATCATCATTTTGTTAACCACATTTCCAAACACGAGAAAGCAGTTTCTGCCCACGTCTCCTCCTCTATCCCATGTTCACCAAAACCTCACCTCCTGCTCTATTTCCTCACTGGGCAGCCCCTAGGTGACCAGTGCCTGTCAAGGTCAGCAGTTCATGGCTGGTGTTTAAGGGAAAACAAGAGCCTGTCTTCATAGCCACAGCCTAGCCCTGTGTCTCCCCTTTCCTCTCTGGGTGTTTCTGAGTCAGTCTTTTGGGTAGCAAATGGCTTAGAAAATGAAAAGTGGACCCCAAAAAAATGTTACCTAAGGAGAGGACAAGCAAAAGGTAAAATGAGAAAAGGATAGAAATGAGGGAACAGGTGGGTGAATTGGGCCAAAAAAATTTCGTAGTGAGGTAACACTGGTTTATAGTATGATACAGGTCTCAAGCATTCAGCCTTAGACACCAAGATCTGTGTTGGCTACATTATGTTCATCACCAAATCTAGTTTACATCATCCCCGTCCAATTGACCACTTTGGCCCAATTTACCCACCTGTTCCCTCATTTCTATCCTTTTCTCTTGCTGTAGTTCAAGTTTGCTACCCTATGAAGGTAGTAGAACCGTCAAAAAGGGAGACTGGCCAAATGATGTAAAAATAAACTTTTTAATAAAAAAAAAAGGGAGACTGGCATTATGGGGTGAAACAGGGAATGTGAGGAGATAAAATGCAATTTTGGTGAGTTTTAAATGTAGCAGTAAGACCTTGACTCCACTAGGGAAATAGTTCTAGGGGGTGACAGAATGATAGCGGGGTTCAGTGCTATGAGTATGTGCTGGTGAAGGCCAGGAAGGAGTTGTTAGTTCACTTTTCAACATACACAGCATGAACAGAGGGGAAAGAATTCTATTTTCACTTGTAGGCTGGAATCACCTAACTATATTTTAAAGGGAGGAAAATGTCAAGACATTTTCTTAATTTCTTTGTTAGGCAGTTTCCCTAAGGAAGCACTATTTTATTAAGTTCTCCTCTAAGAAAATTTTAGGTCGTCTGTGAAAGAAGAAATGGCTTCTTCATATTAAGCACTGTTTGGAGGAACAAATTAATAGACAATAAGGGAAATGAGAAGAGAAAATGAATAATTTTTTCTATCAGTTCCTGCAGGTGTACACAGCCATCCTCTCCTCTCCCAGGGTGTGTTTGAGTGGAGGCAGCAGGGGGCAGGCTCAATCCACCGGTGTGGTGTAGTCACTATCCATTCCCACTTAATTTTAAAGTTGTTCCCCCATCTTTACGCAACTGAAAACTCCAGGTGTGTCTACTTCAACCCTCAGACTTCCCTCATGGAGCCCTACACAGGCATCCTGTTTAATCTCTCTTTTGGCACAATAATTCAGTTTAAAAATACCTCTCTGTAGGCAGCAGAGAACCACAGAAATGATTAGTTGCTCACTCTGTGCAGAGGTCATCTTGAGAATAAGATGTTTTAAAATGCTTCTGAACTCCTAACGAAAAGCAGGCATACGCTATCCTTCCCATTTCCCAGTGGGCCACTGCAGACCGGCCAGGACAGAGCTGAGGCCCAGGACATGGTCTGCAGGCAGAGCTGCTTTCCCTGCACCACAGCCCTGCTGGCGGGCAAAGGTGAGCACCACTCCCGGCACCAAGGTCACAGCTAGGCCCTAAATGTTCAGCACCATTTCTAGATTAAGAAAAAGGCTGTCTTAGGCAAGAAAATAATTGTTAACTACAGTTCACAAGATGACGTCCACACAGAGTGAGCAACCCTTAAGCAACTCTAAGCAAGATAATGCTCCTCCATACCCAGATTGTTTCTTTCAACATTCTAGTTCTACAATGAAATGTTCTAGCAGCTCACATCTTGTTCATCTGATGTATGGTAGATATACTCCTGGGTCCAGGCTGCAGAGCAAAATACACCCCGCGTCAAGCAGTTACGTTTTGTAGGAAGGAGAAAATCAAGGCAGCTGTGGGTGCCCCACACGGCCTCAGAGAAGGCCCTGGGCACGGTCCTGACTCATTACCTCAACGCATCTCAGTTGCTCTCCATCAAGCCTTCAGGGTCACACTCTTTGTGTGGTTCCCCTCCTCCTGGCAGCTCACTCTCGATTTCCCATAGGACATCATCTTCATCTTCCAAGTTGCTGGAGATGTGGCACTTCTTGAACCCCTGGACAATGGACTCACTGGAGATGCTGTTCCATGCAACCATGACCCATTCCAAGAAGAGCCCCAGGGGCGGCTTCTTGGCGTTCCCGGTGGGGCTCAGCGCCAGGTTGCCGGCCAGCAGCCAGTTGGAGTACTGAGCCCGCACACTGTCATTCAGCGGCTTGTAGACCACCACATCCAGCACCTGGAGCTGCGAGGTCAGGCCCCCCGGGATGATGACCATGTCCGTGTTCATGCTTTCCATGGAGTTCTTCACAGAATCTGTGGTGTGACCCCGGAACCCGTTCAAGATCAGCATCCCTCGCTGTTTGGGCACGGCGCCAGTCCTCCGCCTCCACACCACCTCCAACCAGTCCTGCATCAGGTCCTCGGTCATCCAGCCATACCGATGGCAGCGGATTTCCATCCCACTGGGGAACTTCCCCGGGGGGATATACGTGCCCCTCAAGATGATGTACGGAGGTAATTTCCTCCCATCTGCCAGGACCCCCAGCATGGCTGTGATTTTCAGTTTCTCCCTGCCTGGCGTCTTGACCAAGACAGGCTTTTCCCCCTGGTTGTCAACAGTCACCCTTGACGGCACCTCTAAACAAATCGGGGTCTCGTCGGCATTGCCCATCTGAGCCACCTGGTAGTCGTGCGCCCTGCGCAGGGCCAGTACACTCCGCTGGTAAGTGACCAGTTTCTCCGTCAAGTCTTCAGGTAGCTGCTGGGGGACGGGCACCTTATGCCGCAGGGACAGGTCGTACCTTCGCATCATTCTCCGACACCAACCCAAGCTTGCCTTGAAGCCTTTTTCCGGAATGTTCATTTCCTGGGCAATTTCCAGCGCTTTCAGCTGCATGGCCTCCCTGGTGATCGGGTCCCCTTTGGCCTGCATGTATCTGACATACTCGGCCACACGCTGGTCCACCAGAGCAAACCGCCCATTCTTGGGGCCTCGGAAGGCCCTCCGCATGGCATGGGCATTCTGCAGCTGCGGCTTCACTTTGCGCCAGTCCCGCACGTTTTTCTCCAGCACCCCAAACTGCTTGGCAGCCTGGCAGTTGTTAGTGCTCTCGGCGTATTCCACCACCATCAGCTTGAAGCCCGCGTCATAGCTACGGCGCATCCCTCTGCTGAACTGAAACTTCCCAGCCAGGTCTTCAGCTGAGAGGTCATATCCAGGGAAGCCCATGGCCACGTAGAAGGGGTACCCCTCACCCCACTCAGGCAGCTCTGTGATGTCCCGAGGCAGGCGGAAGCCAAAGCCATCAAAATGCTGAGGCTGAGGGAGCTGCGAGGGGTTGCTCATCGGACCCGCCCAATCTGGAGGCTTCACGTCAGTGTCTTCATTGTCTGGGAGGCAAAAGTAATGCCAGTAAGTAAAATGACTTCTGGGGGCCTCCCTGGTGGGACAGTGCTTAAGTCTCAGCGCTATCACTGCTGCGGCCTGAGATCCATCCCTGGCCAGGGAGCTGACTCACATGGCGCAGCAGACCCCTCCTGTCTCTCCCGCTGATCCCCTCAGCAGTGTATTTCATGATCTGCCTGTTCTGCTCCCCACTCTGTCTCTGATGAAGCCTCTCACCCCCTGCAACTCTGGCTTACACTCCAGCTATTGTATGCATAAATAAAAATAAATCTTTAAAAAACTAAACATGCCGGGGCCCTCCCTGGTGGCGCAGCAGGTTAAAGCACAGCACTGAGAATCTAAAGCCGCTTCCTCATGAGTTCGATTCCCGCCTGCCCCGGAGGTGACCACATGGTATGGCAGAGCTCTCCTGACCCACCCGCTGCTCCCCTCAGCAGTGTACTTCATCGATCTGCCTGTTCTGATCCCCACTCTGTCTCTGGTGAAGCCTCTCACTGCCCCTGAGTCTCTGGCCTGTATCCCAGTTCTGTATGCAAAAATAAATAAATCTTTAAAAAAAAAAAAAAAAAAACTAAACATGCCGGGCCCTCCCTGGTGGCACAGTGGGTTAAAGCACTGCACTAAGAAGCTGAAACCACTTCCGCATGAGTTCGATTCCCGCCTGCCCCGGAGATGACCACATGGTGTGGCAGACCTCTCCTGACCCTCCCGCTGCTCCCCTTGGCAGTGTGCTTCGTCAATCCGCCTGTTCTGCTCCCCACTCTGTCTCTGGTGAGGTCTTTCTCCACTCCTGAGTCTCTGGCCTGTACCCCAGTTCTGTATGCACAAATAAATCTTAAAAAAAAAACTAAACATACCATCCATTTCTAGAGGCATTCTCAGTTCCAGAGATATAAAAGTCTGGCCATTTGGAAACTATATGGATCCAACTGTTACACTTCTAACCACATCCCTACACTGAATGTGTAGGCTCAAGTGCTTTTCCTCTCCGGGATGAAATGGACAGGAAGCCAAGGTAAATAATCCACACTTTTCTCCATACTTGACAGAGTGGTGTGGTGTGGTATACCACTGTGGTGCCCTCAGCTACTGGGATGTGTAAAATGCTGGACGAGCTTCAGTGAGCTTAATCCCCATATTGCACACAGACTCATAACCCACAGTTGACAGATGAAGAAATGGAAGCTCAGAAAGGCAAAATTAGTTGCCCACGTTCATACAGCACTGGAGAAACTCATACTTCCGAGTTCATGATCTTTCTGCCTTCTAACTTGTCCTACTATTAAATATTCCCACAGAAAAATGTATGTGCAAACTGAAATCCAGCTTACTAACTCTCCCACTGGATGCACGTGAGCTGGTATAGTCTCGTACCTGCTAAGGATCCTCCTTGGAGCTGCCATTCGTCGGAATTCTGAGACTCCTCCCCTTCCAAACGGGTAATCATGTTTGGCTTAGGGAATGGGAATTCTGTTTCCAGGAGACAAAACAGGTAAGCTTTGTATTACTGTCTTGATGCATGGCCGAAATAAGAACTTGTTAACACTTTCACCTCCCACCTCCCCCACCCCTACCCCACTGCAGTGCTCTCAACACAGAGATTTATGAAAGACCAGGAAGAGATTGGGGACACTGAAAGAAGAAATATGATGCAAAATAGGTCTGTCCAAGGGAACTGATAGGTCTCCACTAGAGGTCAGGGACACAACAAAGAATTGCATTTAGCAGGGAAGTAGGTGGGTACAGCAGCCAGCTGATCTAAACTAACACTGTGGTACCTGTATAACCAAACCGGGAAATTCTCCAGTTACAATTCTTTTTTTTTTTTAAGATTTATTTATGAATACAGAACTGGGATAAAGGCCAGAGGTGGGGGGGGGGGCAAGGGAGGAGCTGGTAGTGGGGGGGCGGTGGAGGTGGAGGTGGTGGTGTTGAGAGGATTCACCAGAGACAGAGCAGGGAGTAAAAGAGGCAGATGTAATGAAATACACTGCTCAGGGGAGCAGCGAGTGAGACAGGAGAGGTCTGCCACACCATGTGGGTCACCTCCCTGGCCGGGGATCAAACTTGTGCTGAAATGGCTGCGGGAACTTCATTGTGCCGTGCTTTAACACCCTGCACTACCAGGGAGGGTCCCAGTTACAATTCTGATAACACAGGTGATGTTTATTTTGGAGAGGAGCAAGGATTTGGGGGGGTTTCCTCCCCGAACTTTTGAGCTGATAGGATAATAATGAGGCCTGCCTTCCCTCCTAAGGAACAAATGAAACACAGGCCCAGACCTGTGGTGACATTTCTTAAGTCATGCTTATTATTTAGTTTTGATGTGAATGCCTGAGTTGACTAGGGGTGGTTCTGTAAACTGGCACAAAGCTGCTGCGTAGAACACAATATTTATCTCTTTCCTAAATTGGAAAAAGGAAATTAAATTTGCACAGGCACTGAAAGGCCAGAGTCCAAGTTCAGGAGGGAGAGATGTTAGGCACACTAGAGAAGGAACCAACTCTGGGCTCAGAGCTTCTAGGAGACAAAGGAAAACAAAGTTTTACCCAGGGAGAGGACAGTCTCATAATTCATCCTCATGACTTCCCGGTAGAGGGCCTTTTGTTGCTCCGTCAACACTTCCCACTCCTCATCGGAAAAATATATGGCCACCTCATCAAATAGGGCCGGCACCTGGAACAGCAAACAGGCCTTTCTCAGCGACTAACAGACACAGACACATATACCTCCATCTCGCAGGGGCAGGCCTGGCCCAGAGACGCAGCTACTAAAGACAGCAGAGACCTCGCACAGGTCTCTTAGGGTGCCACCAAGTACTTACTATCCCCCGAACATCCACCCAGGGTTCACAGATGGGGAAAGCAGCCCCTAGAGAAAGAATCTACACACTACCATCACAGGCAGGATACTGTCATCCTCATACCCTCCGGTATAAGGTAATTCAAGGGACCCGATCGCAGCTCACCCCAAACAGAACATGCCCTGCTCTCCTTCAGCCAGTCTCACTGCTCTCCCTGGAATCTTAGTGGCTTTCTTGGGGACTGTTCTCCATATCCCTGGTATTTGACTAGCACCCAAAGCTGCCCAGGTTAGTCAGCGAGAAGTGGCCTCATCTGGCCTTTTCCGACCCACAGAGCTTGAGTAGGAGGATAGAAGGCTAATTAGAGCTTAACTTTATGTAATGAGACACCAGAGCAGACTAGTTTGCTTTGATGCCTAGACCTGGCAGGACTGGGAAGCCCTCTACTCTCTCATCGCTGCCCCCCCCATAGAAGGTGGCCTCTCATAGCTGAAGGCCACCTACCTGCCCAAATCGATCTGCTTTTCTTTTCATGGCTTTTTCTTCCCATTATTAAAAATCCTATTTCCAAGAACATCAGACTTAGTGGCGTGAAATCACAGGGCCACTTTTTTTCCAGGCTAATTGCTTTGAATCCCTGCTTCCAAAGAAAGGAAATGCTTTGAGCCCACAAAGCTGAAGCGAAGGCCTGAGGGGCTGTTTGTCACCAGCTTAGGAAATCCTTATCGGTGTCCCCCAGCAGTTTCTTCAGGCATCTGGCCATCACTCATTCTGATGCCCTGGGCTTTTCTCTTTATTCCCAGCTTATTTACAAACCCCCCTTCCCCCCAGTACCTTGCCAGCATCTTCCACATGGGGAACATGTCCACATTTCTAGTCCAAACTCAGAGCCCATAGACAGCAGGGTTGAGATTTGGAACCAGCACCACCTGACTCCAAGGCTCCAGTACTTAGGGCTAAGAGCAAGAAGCAGGTCAGGTCCCCACACCAAGCCTCCATCCATCCTCTCCCTCCTGGCCTGGCTATGACCCACCCATCTTTTAAAACTTCCAGGCCAGAACCTCAAGTTCCCCAGGAGCCCCTCCTCCCAGGCCTGTGTGCCAGCCACATGTCCCTGCCATGCTCTGGGTTCATCCCTGGGGGACAGCAGAATCCTTTCCGTTTGTCTGCTGCTTCCCTAGAACCCAAGCTTGGTGTGGTCATAGCCTGTGTTCCACTTCTCCCCTAAGCCTAGGGCACTGCCTGTAGAGAGCAGTTATTTACAAATGTGTTTCTGAATGAAAAATTTAAACACATAATCTCTGGATTTCCCTCCTGTTTCACTTGACATCCTTTCAGTTAGTCATTCGGTAATACCTGTCCCAAAGCTGAGTCTACTCTTGGAGAAAGAATGGACAAAGGCCCCCAAGTGTGAAACACTAACAGGGTCTCTAGGGTGGCGAGGCTTTCCTCAGACTTCATCTATCTGGAAAGTCAGCCAGGCAGGGATTTTCCACACAGCATCTTCCCAGGCTCTTAAACAACTCTCCCCTTTGCCTTTTCTCTCCCTAGGAAATTCCAGATGTAGGCCATACCTATTTATAGTCCCTTCCTCTTTACTGATAAAATTGATACAGGACAGGCTATGCCTATCATTTCAGAGGGATTATCGATACTCCCAGCAGGTAATGTGTCCCAGGCTGGGTATAAATAACATGAGTGCTAAAGTCATAGAGGTGTGTGGAGACTGATGGCCTTGTATGTGGGGTTGAGACGCGGAGGCTCTTCAAACAAGCTCACATTATGCTCCAGAGGCCCGCAGTGGAGTGGCTTAAAATTCTCTCCACAGCAACCCTCTGTGAGAACTGAGCAAGTGTTCAGCCAGGCCCTGCTGTGCAGATCGGCCCTCTCTCCACAGAGGCCTTTTATCTGGCAGAGCACAGCAGAAGGTAAACAGGGCCAGCCTTGGGCAAAACTCTGAAGTCAAGCAGCCTATATTCACCCCACCCCCAACATCCTTTCTTGGCCTTGTAGGTAGGGCCCCCCAACCCTGACCCTCCCTTCCCCAGTCCCTCGAAGATCAAGGCCTCCTCAGATCAGTGTTCTTCCTTCAGCTTGAGTGCACAGCCTCAACCTGCCTGAGGAGCTAACATTCCAGCTCTCTAAGAGTAAACATGGCTTCACGGATGAAGCTGCACAGCCATCCCAGGGCGGATGATGGGGTTTTAGGGCAGACAGCTTGCACCAGAGCACTGCACCCAGTGTATATGGGGATGGTGAAGGACAACCCCTCTTACACATTTAAATATATTCTCCTATTGAACCCTTTCAATAATACTGAGATAGGGGTCACTACCTCACTTTTATGAGTGAGGAAACAGCTGCTAAGTAACTTTTCTAAGCTAGAAAGTCTGACTCCTAAGCTAGTGTTTTCTCACATGCCATATCCCCCGGGGCTGCTGAGGACGAACAGCAGCACACGCAACACATCCTTTGGCTGGGCCCTGGCGCATCTTCCTCCTCTCTTCCATTTCTTGACATGCATTTCAGAGGCCAGCTCCTGGCCCTGAACCCTTTACTCCTGGCCTTGCTCCTGCCTGGAGAATAAGGCCCTTCCCTTCTTTCCCCAGCTGCTGCCATTCCACTCATGAATAAGACTTGATTCAAAATACATGTATTTCTTTTTCTCTACCTGAAATTGTATTTTGACTCCCATACAATATATCCTAATATACAGTATGCCTGTTATGTCTGAAAGAGCTTATTGATCACCCTAACATAATTATGACCACAAGACAGATTTAAGGAACAGACTCAATTTCCCCCTAGTTTAATGCTCTCACAGAGGTTCTCAAATTCAACACAAGTGACATGGTGCTGAGGGGCTTCCCAGCACCCAGCAGCTCCCTGGCCCTTATCCAGATACAGCAGGACCTCCCACTTCCCAACCACAAGATGTGAGAACCCTACATGACTGCAGATATTGTCAGATGTCCCAGGCAGAGTGAGGGTGAGGGCAAGTCACCCCCTGCAGAGACGTTTGCCTTCTCCAGAAACCTCTGAAAGCCTCAAAGAGGGTCCTCCCCTTGAGTTGATTTCCACAGCCTGGCAGCCCTGCCATCCCGGTAATTATATTCACTTCCACTTCCGGCTGCCTCAGGACACAGCCACTCCAGGAAGGTAGAGATCTTGACTTAACACCTGGCAGGGCCTCAGAAACTGCCTGCAGGCCACAGAAGGCTCTCCCTTCATCCCTCTCTCCCTTCCACACCCTCCTTTCCCAGACTGGCAGGCCTTTACCCTGCTCTTTTCTCTGATCCCAACACACTCAAATGTCCACTTTGCTGGCTTCATTTTCCCCATCTATTTTAGATATTCTGGTTTAGCCAATTTAGCCTCGAAGTGGGAATTTCTTACTGCTTTGAGTTCTTGCTCTGGATTAGACAGGGACTGACTTGCCCTCCTGGGCTTCCCCAGTGATAGAGTTGGAAATGGGGTCAGGGAGGAGTGATGGGTACAGGGAAGCGACAAGGCTAAGCCCAAACCCAGAACCTGGTGCTACAATGGTTCTTATTTTTTGGTCTTTTGGGTTTAACATACACAGCAAAAGGTGCTGCTTGTAGAACACAACTAAGAGGTAGTTTTAAGAACAAATGCCGGAGTACATGTGTATTCTAGCAGATAACCTCTGACCCCTGCTCCCTCCTCTGGGAAGCCAGCTGGACTAGATGGTTTGCAAGTAGCACATTTGGGGAAAACAGACCTCTTAACAGTGGATATTATGTATCCTGATAATGTTTAGACATAATGTAAAACTAAACAAAGAAATGTCAATCTGTTGCTTATTTAAATGTTTACCATTTCATGCTCAATTATCCTGAACTCCAGTTAAGTACTGTGAATAACTATGCAAAACTATAAATATCTGTTGCAGTTGCATTTTGGTAGATTTACTCTAATTCTACCACACTGTTCTGTTTGGAAATGTTCCCATGTTCCCTGCTGCCTAGCACCCTAATCCGTCATTCGGGCCAGCTGGAAATGCAGCGCTACTGTGAGAACTGCTGTAAGAGACGTTCACACCACACCAACTGGCCTGTCTCTTGGTGTAAGCTCAGTGCCCCAAGTCCTTATCTAAGAGGCTCCCTTCAAACAGCAGTAGGTGACAAAGACCCTCCCCTTACGAAAGCACTAGCCAGACTCCCCTCCTATCCACAGCCTGTCAGACCAATTTTAGCAAGAAATCCTGCTAAGTCTGTATAGGGAGTATCCCCCCTCCTTGATTTCTGATCAGCACAGCCTGCCTTCAGCAAGAAAGAGTTCTATTCAGGTTATGAAAAACTCTATCTGCCCCCAAATCTTTTGTCTCCTCTTAGAAATTTCTCATCCACTGGCCCTTCCCCTCTGCTCATGGCTCATCTTTGCTTGTATTCAGAATTCAGCCTGATTTTTCTCTCCTCTCTTGATACAGCCTCATCTTAATAGTTCTGGAGAGTCTTTCTTACCATTTTAACAAGCCTCAGGATAATTTTTTCTTGAACCAAAGTCAGCATGCATGTCTTTAGTTATCTGCATTATGCCTGGCATCAAGCAGCGGATAAGGGACCCAGGGCCACAGGACAGAGACAAGGCCTGGGCCATCCAATCTTGATGATGATAAGCAACATGACAGGGATTATTCCAGAACCAGCTCCGCCAATTTTCAGTGCCTTTTAAAGCCACAGGACTGTTTTCTCAAGAATGCAAACACACCGGCAGGCTGGGCTATTTTTACTTTCTGTATCTGCCTAAGGAGTCTTACCAGCCTGGCTGCCAAGCCTGCCCTCGTGGCATGTGTAAGACCCCACACCTTCTTACCCAGCCGCCTTCTGAGCAGATCCGGACTTTCTGCATATCTGTGGGGCCATCCTCCAATTCCCGGCTCTGAATCTCTTCTTCCTCTTCTTCTTCTTTCAGAGTCAGATTCAGAGGATAGGCTGTGGGCTCCATCTCTGCAAATAAGATTCAATGCAGAAAAATGAGGCACGATTGCAAGCTCTTCAGCACCTGTGACTGTGGCTTAACCTACACAGACCTCTTTGGCCTGGAGCATGTGGGGCTGGAACGAAGGGGAGGAAGAGTCTCAGGCCTGGGAAAAAGGGCTGCAGGGCAAGCACCAGGAAAAGGGAAGATGACATGTTTGACTTTGACAAGAGGGGCTGCCTTCAAATATTTATAAAGCTCTCCGTGGAAGAGAGACCAGACTGGTTCTGTGGCGACCCAAGGGCAGAACAGGCTGGTGGGTAAACATTCCAGAAAGAGCTTTTAAAGAGTGCATTGAAAGGCAGAACTTTCTCACAGCTAGTGCCACCCAAACATGGAATCACTCAGCAGCCAGAAAGGGGTGCTGGCTTCCTGTCAAGATGTATGACTACAACAGGACACCTGTCAGCAGGGTGGTTTCTACAGGCCAGTTAAGCATCAGGTTAGTTGGCCCAGACTTCCACCACTTGGATTTTCCAGGGACTGGTTCAGAAAATAAAGTCAGCTCTGTCTGAAGGGACTTTCCAAAACCGGGAGTCTGAGAAGGGTGACACCTGTCAGCCCAGAGGGGCAGAAATCTGGCCGGGCCAGACTCCAAGGTCCACCCCACCGGTAAACGTCTCCCAGCCTCGGGGCTGCAGATTCCCCCTCCTGCCGAGCTGGTCGCCAGTACAAAGGGCCGCGCTCTGCCCTCTTGAGGGGCGCCCGACATAGGTGTGCAGCGTGTGCATCCGCGGCCGCAACCTCCCGGGTTTCCAAAGACAACACCCCTCCGGGAGTTCAAAGTCGGCTTCCCCGACCTTTCCTAAAAGGCCTGGCGAAGGTAGCAGGGATGGCTCTGGGCGGGCGTTTGGAACCGGGTTCGGAACCCAGTTGCTGGGGCCCGAACTTGGCCGCCGCCTCCCCCACCGGCT